AATGACATATAGACTAAAAAAAAATACAATCAATGAAACCAAGAGCTATTTCTTTAAAAAGATAAAAAAAAATTGATAAACAGCTTGATTCACCAAGAAACAAAGAGAAAGAGCCCACATAAAAAAATCAGAAATAAAAGAGGAAAAGTAACAACTGACACTGCAGAAATAGAAAGGATTGTAAGAAAATACTATGAGCAACTATATGCCATCAAACTGGACAACCTGGGTGAAATGAACAAATTCCTAAAAAAAAATACAATCTTCCAAAACTGAATCAGGAAGAATCAGAAAAACTGAATAGGACAATAACATCTGATGAAATAAAAGTAGCAATCAAAAAACTTCCAGCAAACAAAAGTTCTAGTCTGGATGGCTTCATAGGGGAGTTTTACCAAACCTTTAAGAATAATTATCACCTAACCTCCTCACAATATTCACAAAAATATAAGAGGAAGGAACACTTACAACCTGTTTTTATGAGGACAGCATTATCCTAATTCCAAAACCAGATAAAGACACTACAAAGAAAGAGAATTACAGGCCAATATCCCTGATGAACATATATGCTAAAGTCTTCAACAAAATATTAACAAATAGGATCCAGAAATATATTTAAGAAATCATACAACATGACCAAGTGATATTTATTCCAGGGAAGCAAGGCTGGTGCAGTATTAACAAATCAATAAATGTAATACGTCATATAAACATATTGAAAGACAAAAATCACATGATCCTAAAAATAGAGTCAGAAAAGGCATTAGACAAAAATCCAACACCATTTTTTGATAAAAGCTCTCAGCAAAATGGGAATAGAGGGATCATATCTCACCATAATAAAGGCCATATATGACAAACCTACAGCCAGCCTCATACTCAATGGGAAAAAGCTAAAAGCATTTCCTTTAAAATCAGGGACAAGAAAGGATAAAGATGTCCACTTTCATCACTTTTATTCAACATAGTATTAGAAGTCCTAGCCACAGCAATCAGACAAGAAAACTAAATAAAAGGCACCCACATTGGAAAGGAAATCATATCATTATTTGCATTTAACATGAAATTATATTTACAGAACCCTAAAGATTAAAAAAACTACTAGATTTAATAAAGGAATTTGGCAATGTAACAGGATACAAAATTAATACCCAGAAATCTATGGCACTTTTATACACCAATAATGAAGTCTCAGAAAGAGAAACTAAAAAGCAACTCCATTTACCGCTGCAACAACAACAACAAAAAGATATTTAGAAATACACTTAACCAAGGAGGTAAAAGACTTGTACTTGGAAAACTACTGGATGTTGAAAAAAAGAGCTAGAGGAAGATATGAATGAGTGGATGATTATATCATGTTCATGATTTGGTGGTATCAACAGCATTAAAATTTCCATAATACCCAAAACAATCTACAGATTCAATGCAGACCCTACTAAAATACGAACAGCATATTTCACAGAGCTAGGAAAAATACTCTAAAAATTTATATGGAACCAAAAATGACCCTGAATAGCTGCAGCTATCTTGAGAAAGAAGAAAAAAGTAGGAGAGATCACAATACCAGATATCAAGTACGCTACAGCCACTGTATTCAAAACAGTGTAAAAGCCACTGTATTCAAAACAGCCTGGTACTGGCACACGAACAGGCACATAGATCAATGGAACAGAATAGAAGCCCAGAAATTGACATTACAGTCAATTAATATTTGACGAAGCAGGCAAGAACATAAAATGGAATAAAGACAGTCTTTTCAATAAATGGTGTTGGAAAAATTGGACATATACATGCAAAAATATAAAAATAGTCCAGCAACTTATACCATACATAAGAATAAACTCAAAATGGATAAAATACTTCAATGTAAGTCATCAAACCATAAAAAAACTAGAAGAAACCATAGGCAGCAAAGTCTCAGACATCTCTCGAAGCAATATGTTTACCGACATCTCCTAGGGCAAAGGAAACTAAGGAGAAAATAAGCAAATGGAACTACATCAAAATAAAAAGCTTCTGCACAGCAAAAGTAATGTTGGTGCTTCCAGGGTTCAGAAAGCCCCACTTTGGGCGTCCATTATGCCAGGGTTCTTGTCCCAGCATCAAGAAGGGTTCAGGAATCTGGAGAAGGCTGTGCGTAGATGTTAAATAGAAGTCCAGAGACTAATAAAGAGTCCGGAGACGAGATATAATTTTGAAAGGCATTGGGGGTCAGAGGAGCTTAGCTAAAGGAGCTAAGATCTAAGGTCTTAAGTCTAAGGTCTTAGGTTCTCTCCTTGTCCCCAGGACCCCATGCTTTTTATTAACACAATTTGTCCTGAGGTGAGGCAGAGATATACACTTCAAAAGGTCAGGGTTTCAATACAGAGGCATTGTCAGAATGGGGGAATTAGCCTACGGCTGTTCAACTCTTTGGCCAGTAGGAGGCAATAACATGTAGATTAAGATGCCTTTTAGCTGTCTGGCAGCCAAGAAATCAATTTAATGTATCCTATTCAGGTTTGGGAAAATGCCTTCAGCCATTCCCAGATGCAGCCCTGCTGTCATGCTGGAATTGGTCTCCGGCACAAAAGAAACCATCAACAGAAGGAAAAGAGAGCCCCCTGTATGGGAGAACATATTTAGCAATGATACATCTAATAAAGACACAATATATATATACAAAACATATAAGGAAGTAATACAACTTAACAAAAGAATGACAAATAATCAAATTTAAAAATGGGCAAAGGACCTAAATAGATACTTCTCCAAAGCAGAAAATACAGAAGGAAGAGACATATGAAAAAAATGCTAAAACTCACTAATCATCAGAGATGCAAATTAAAACAACAATGAGGTATTATCTCACACCTGTCAGAATGGCTACCATCAATAAATGACATGTGCTGGCAAGGATGTAGAGAAAAGGGAACCCTAGTACGCTGCTGGTGGGAATGCAGACTGGTGCAGCCATTTCGGAAAATAGTATGGAGTTTCCTCAAGAAAGTAAACATGGAACTGTCTTTGACCCAATGATCCCATTTCTAGGACTATATGCTAAGAAACCCAAAATACCAATCAGAATGTATGCACCCTTATGTTCATAGCAGTACAATTAACAATAGCTAAGATCTGGAAATAGCCCAAGTGCCCATCCTATCTAATAAAAGAGAAACATGGTAATTAGCGTACGACCGCTACCCTTCCCATTGGCTAATCAGGGCGATATGCAAATTAACTGCCAGCCAAGATGGCGGTTAACCGCCAACAAAGATGGCGGCTAATTTGCATATGTAGGCACAATGCTGGGAGGCGAAAGGGAAAGGACGGAAGAAGCCCCCTGCCCCTGATGGTGATCGGAAACCTAGGGGGGAGCTAAGAGCCGGGGGCAGCTGTCCCCCAGCTGTGATCAGAGAACCAGGCGCCTTTGCCGCCCCGGCCAGTGATAGCGGGAAGCAGGGGTGGAGCCAGCAATGGGAGCTGGGCAGGGACGGAGCCGGCAGTCC